CACCAACACCTTATTAATAACGTTGTATTACATTTTCAAGATTTTTGACCCAGGAAAAAATGTTGCATCGACAATAATTTAAAAAACTAATAAAACTTATTATACCTACTCAATTAATTAAGGTCTTTGTTACAAATATAAATCTAAGTTCTTGACAACGAGCAATATAAATAAATTATATATATTATATATATAAAAATTCGTAGCTGTAGAGAGCGCTAGTAAGATGTGACTTTTTGTCAAATTTGATAAGAGCATTCGGAGCCCCTCAATGCTGTGAAGGCCGTCGTTCTACCATAGTAAATAGTAATCTATATTCGTGCTCGCGATTATATAAATCCACCTTTTTGACTGAATAGTGATTATTATTATTTTAATTGTATATTAATTATCGAGATAGATAAACAATACTGGAGCGTGTATTAAGATACTGAAAGCAGAAAAGTTTTTAAACGCTTCCCCACCACTGCAGGGCAAGAATATAATACTGCTAAGTAAATATTCTGACTATTCTGTGCTAAACATAAACACTTAACAGTAAATAGTAAACATAGACAAAGAAAATACAGTAAACAACGAAATTTTATTCAAGTTGAATTAAGATTGTGTTTAACTGCTTAATGCTTACGATTCCATTTAAAAATATATATAATTTTATGTATGTAATTTTCATTCATTACCTATGCTAAAGAATTAAAGAAGTTAATGCGAAGGAAGAATTTAAAAATTAAGAAATTTGAATTATTTGCACTGCGAGCCAAGTTATCGGTGCTGTCCAACATTTATGTGAATATAAATATAACAACAACTATTAATTAGAAAATGAAGAGTATAATAGTGGGAATGGGACTTTTCGGCGCGGGCGATTCGGCGCCGACAGTTCGGCGCGGACGTTTCGGCGATATGTCAATTCGACGATGTCCGTTTCGGCGCGTGACCGTTTCGGCGATACGGCAATCTACCTATCTGTAACATTGTCTCACCGTATGGCGTGTGGTATAGAAATGTTATCTTTATTACTATTGTTATTATTACTACAAGATAAATCGACATCACGATAGTCGATATGGATGATCTGATAATTTTATAATTTTATAATTTAGTTAGTCTGCGGAAAGTGAAGTAGGTCAGTGGCGTACTTAGACCTGAACTTTGGGGGGGGGGTTTTAATTTTTTATTTAACATATTAGATGACGTGACACCTGAAAATAACAAAACATATCGTACATTTTAATAGATTACTAATTTTTATTCGTGATACTTAACCATATGTAAAAAAAAAAAAAAAATGTTAAATTATATAATAATAATAATAAAAAAAAATTATTTAGATACATAATAATTTTAGAACATTAATTTTCTATTTTTTTCTGAAAAAATATCGACCACTTCACTACTTTTTATTGGTATTTCTCTGTGAATACTTAGATGAGCCAATCCATTTAGACGATTTTCCCCCGTGGAATTCCTCAAGTATGATTTCAAACGTTTTAACGTTGAAAAGCTCCGTTCTACGCTAGCAACTGTGACAGGCAACGTAGCGCCAATTTTTAAATATTGGTATACTTTAGGAAACAGTAACTCATCACAACAATTTATGGCATCTATAAAAGTACAAGGGAGTTTATCTTCTGCAGCGGCTATCCATCTTTGTTTCCACAATAGAACTTCTTTGTTCACAATATTGTCACATGAGCTTATTACAACTGGCCACTGTTTTGACATCACTTCCGTACTTGTCTCAATTTCATTTTTGGATAATTTTATTAATTTGTTTGGTATAAAGTTCTGAATAATTGATAGTGTATTTTTGTGTTTGGTAAATCTAATTTCTAACTGCGAAATGAAATGGTCAATAAACGGGAACATATATATATAAACATTTTACTTTATTCAATTATACTATATAACTATAAAGATTTTTATTTATTCATTTATTAATGATTTAAAGTGACTGTGGTATTTTTATTTATGATTTAAAACTACTTATTGTATTATACATATAATACGTTTTTACATTATATCACATTTTTTTTTTTACTATTAATTTTCGCCGAAATGGTCGCTCGCCGAAACGGACATCGTCGAATTGACATATCGCCGAAACGTCCGCGCCGAACTGTCGGCGCCGAATCGCCCGCGCCGAAACGTCCTAGATCCTATAATAGTGTATACGCAGTATACATGCAGGATTGGGCACTGGGCAGTATCAAAGATACAATTATATCTTGTATCATGATACATAATTTTAAAGTATCAAGTATTACGTATCATGAGACATTTTATACTAGCATCATGTAGGTATCTTATTTTGCCAAAAGATACAAGATACTATTATTGTAACTATTTTTACTGAAAAGTACCAAGGAATATGAATTTGATTCGCAGGTCAATCAAAACTTAAAATAAATGTAACAATTGCTGTGGAAATTAACGATATAACGAACAAATTTACCACACAAAGTTACAATTTTTAAGATAATTTGAAAAACAAAATTAAATTAAGGTGCCCGTATCCGTATGACTGTACAGTGTACATATAGTTATACAGACTAAACTGAAATTTTCGTTCTCGTAAATATGAATCCACTACCTAGATACCTATATCATTATAAGTGTAGCCAGTGTAGGTCTATCCACATAAAATAGAAAATCAAATCAAAAGTATATAATATAACTTATAAGCAATTAAAGTGTAGAAGTGTCAAGTGTACTATTAAGTATTAACTAATTTTTCTAAAAGGTAACCAAGATTTTATTTATAAAAATAACATTTAATAGACATTTATTAATTTATTCATAAACATTTAATTTCATAACCATAAATCCGTAACTCGCAGTTATACACTTATACACATGTATAACTAAAATTAAGATGTTATTTGTATGTAATTTATTAATTTTAATGTATTTATATACATAAGTAAAAATTAAGGTGTAATTTTTATGTGATTTTTCATTTTGATGTATTTATAGGACAGTTTAGAGTATTGTGTATAGAATTTATTAGTGTTTAATAGTTAATACAATTTAATTGGAAGTATCATGTATCTTGTATCTTGTACAGGGGCGCCATTTCAGTTTTTTTTTAGGGGTGTGCAAACAATGAAAGAGGCCAATTTTTCCCACCGCCAGGCCAATCCTTAAAAAAACGTTTCTCGTGTTTTTAATTTTTCAATATAGAATTTTTAGTGTCAAAAACATTCTTAGCTATATATGAAATAAAGGTATCCAAAAAAAAAAAAATACAAACTAATTATTTAAAGATAAGTTTGTGACTAAAGCATAAAGTAAAGGGTAATGCAAATAATGAACAACTTGAAATATAATAGTTTATTATTATATTGACCTTAATATGTTTATAGTTAACATTAATACAATAAATAAATATAAAATAATGGCATAGGTATAATTATAAAAGCATAGCAGCATAGGTTATTATTTAAGCGGGTATCTCCGTTGCTTCATATCTGAAAATGCATCTACAGCTTTATATAAATCTAGGCACTTAGCTTCTTCTTTCTCTACATTTAAAACCACAAGATCACTTAGTCTGTTATCTCCCATTTTAGTACATAAGAAAGTTTTAAAATTTTTAAGGGATGAAAAGAATCGTTCATTTGAAGCAGTAGTAATTGGAAGAATCTTTAGTATAGAAATAATTTTTAAAGTTTCAGAAAAGGCTGTAGGAAGTTGTGATAAAGAGGATACGATAGAATCAAAATTTAGTTGAATATTTGTATTGCTTTGAAGCAATAGCAACTTGATTTACTGCAATATTTGTCTTAGCTTTAATTTCATTTTTAGAAAACATGTCGTCAATTTTTTTACAAGAAGTGGAGATTTTAAATAATTTTTTTTTATTTGTATCTTTCATCCTAGCTGCACCACTTTTCCTTTTATTATTGGTATCCATTTTCACTACAGTGTAGTGAGTAAATATAATTTATAGAACTGTAGAGTGTAGAATTATTAATATTCTAATATATAACTTCAGAAGTATATAACTTATGAAATGATTAATAAATATATTTTTAATTTAATCAAAAATCGAAAATAATAAACGATATAAACATAAGCCATAAGATAAGGCCATATCTGCCTTATGCCCTTATGGCCTTATCCAGAGTCACAGTTGAATTATAGAAAAATAATTAACGATCATTTGATAGAATGAAATACCATAACAACTAATCGATTTCAGCGCCCGATTCTTGTAACAAGCTCCACCCACTTGCACGCATTATCATACCTAATGTTTCGGTCTATGAATATAATAGTATTATAATATTATCTATAAACCTAGGAGTTACACGCCAGTGGATAAAGTGATACTGATATCAAATTATCAACTATCTAATGAAAGGTCCCAACATGGCTATAGATATCTATAGCCATGGGTCCCAATAATTGAATAATATTATAATATTATTTATGATTAGCCGTGAATAGCGGTGCATACGCAATTAAAGATTGGCAAATTGAAGGCCAAAGTATAAATGATGCCTAGGCTAGGCCAATAATAGACAACAAAATTACAGGGTTTGCAAGTGCACACCCTGCACCCCCCCAAATGGCGCCCCTGATCTTGTATCTTAATACACTAAATGCATGTATCATGATACTATTTTTTGAGTATCTTGTCCAACCGGCCAACCCTGTACCTATACATGTTTACTGGGAAATTAAATAAAATGTTTTTATTTTCTCAAAATAATGATTACCCGTATTGCCATATAGTCCTATAACGTTTTTGTTTAATAATAATAATAATAAAAGCATATTTTCTGGGAATAAGCTATTCAAATATACCTAAGTCTATAGATATTGTGTTGTCGATGTGTGTACGAGACACGAGTGTACAATGACGTCAGTCGAATTATCTCCCCACTCCTACTTTTTCAAAATTTCGGAATGAGGCAACCTGTATTATCTATAAACCTTGATATCCATAGACCTTGTAAGCCATAACTAGGACGTCTATGAATTATGATAAATGATAATATATTATTATCAGTGATAATATGAAAATATGAAATAATGAATAATTTTTTGTTCTCTTTTGAACTTTCGTAATTTCATCATTCAGCTATTTTAGTTAATGGTGTTGACTCCGCATACATTTTATTTTAATATTAAGCTATTGTGATTTGTGGCCAAACAACTTTATTAACATATTTGATTATAATGTCATGTTTATTTAATAAATTTGGGTCAAGCTGGAAACCAAACCATCTAATATTCAAGGTAAATATTTGAAATCATACAAAATTAATAAACCATAATAAAAATAAAAATTGTTTTCAGACTTGTAGACCTAAGTCAACCATTAGAGATAAATTCCGTGAGATAGTTCAAAGTGGCCCGGACTTGTCAGATTTTATAAATGAAACACCTATAACATCAAAAAACTATAGTGGTAAATTGCGTCGAGCAAAAGGTGAAGAAGATAGATTGCGTTTACCTCCTTGGCTTAAAACTAAAATACCAACTGGGGAAAATTTTTCAAAAATAAAAGAACAGCTGCGTGACTTAAACTTGCATACAGTTTGTGAGGAAGCTCGATGCCCAAACATTGGTGAATGTTGGGGTGGAGGTAAACATGGCACAGCTACCGCAACAATAATGGTAACATTTAAACAAATACATTTTGTATGTCATTTTACTTTTATTGATTAAATACTTTGTAGCTATTGGGTGACACTTGTACTAGGGGATGTCGATTTTGTTCAGTCAAAACATCTCGAGCACCACCACCTCCAGATCCCAACGAACCAGTTAACACAGCAAAAGCTATTGCATCATGGGGACTTGATTATATCGTGTTAACATCAGTTGATCGTGATGGTATATTAAATAAAGAGAAAGTTACATATTTTATTGATTGATAGATAGTATGTACTGAACTTTTTATTTAGATTTGGAAGATGGTGGATCTGCCCATTTTGCTGAAACTGTAGTTGAAATAAAACATCGGTTTGTTAAAATATAGATAGTAATAATTAAATTTGTGATAATGTTTTTTATACCAGCTTTGTTAACATTGTTATATTTTTTTTTCTTAGTAATCCTAATATAATGATTGAGTGCTTGGTACCAGATTTTCGGGGATCAGCAGATAATGTTAAAACTATTGTTGATTCCGGTTTAGATGTTTTTGCTCATAATATTGAAACTGTTGAAAAGCTAACACCATTTGTTAGAGATCGAAGAGCAAATTATAGGTAAATATAATATAAATAATTTTTATTAATGCTTAAAGAATTATTAAATTAATCACTTATCTAATTTAACTGTAATAAAACATTTAAATAAATATTCTATGATAATATAACTATTATTTAATATTATACTGTTATATATATTCTCAACAACTGTACTACACTCACATTGATAATTGATCCACGTCGGAGCTAAATTGATTATTTAATAATGGCTCAGTGGTTATTATATTTCAGAGTGATATCACATGTCCACACTACATATAGTGTCATAGGTTAAATTCTCAAACTAAACTCCCTCCCACGATAGAACAAGTGCTACTATCTATATTTCCTCCCCCTACTTGGCAGTGTGTATACAGCAAAAAGTACTCCTCAAGAAATATGTTATATACAATTGTTAAATATATATTAACTTGTCTTTCTAGTATGTATTGTACTTTTTAAATGTATTTTGTATTAACTGTATAACTTTTGAACAACTTAACCAATTGAGGTATAAGTTATGGGTACCAATAGATTCATTGAGTCTTAGAAATGTTTATTGCGTATTTTTTATTTCATAAATTATATAATTTATTAATAAGTATTATCTATATGGCTATACAAGGTAATTTTTTAAGTATGCTCAACCCCATATTTCCCCTTTTACCCATTGAGGAGCATAGACATATAAATACATTTTTAAAATAGACTGTCAAAAAAAGCATTGGCGTAAATATACGTTTTTCCTGCTAATTCCTTTTAGTGTCTTTTTTTGCATTCCATTTGATTAAATTACTGTAAAATACCTCATTTAAAATATGTGAAATTAGAAAAGACGGATTTATAGTATTTTCTAAAAATCATTTTTAAGTAGATCAAAAGATCATATTTTCAAATTCCTTATATTTTTTGTACTACTTCAGAAGTATCCTATGGCGATATAAACTTCTATTTTTCAAATGAAAATTCCCATTTTTGACTGAAAATTATTTAGCAGATGATTTTTTTGAAAATGTTGGTGTATTTAAATCAAAATTCTTATGAGTAATTTCTGAGTTATTAAAATGATGTTCATACTAATGATAATAATCCTTAAAAATGGTTTTATAAAACTAAACACTTTATATAAAGTATGATGTAGTATACTAGTATTTTAGTATTTATCATACTTGGATCATTAAGGGGGAGCCACCCTCAATTAGCTCATTGATATTGTTAAGTCATAAATTACCATTTTTTTTTTTTTTGTAATTATAACTTTCAACTATTATACTTATAATAAATGAATCTTTAATCTAATTAACTATTAATCTATAATTATAGACAAACTATGTCAGTGTTACATAAGGCCAAAGAATTTAATCCACAACTCATAACTAAATCATCTATAATGCTGGGTCTTGGTGAAACTGATGAGCAAATTGAACAAACATTTAAAGGTGATTATTGTACATTGAAAATGTGGAATAATCATTTTCCTGTAGTTTTCTACTTAACAACAATTGTTTTTTTTAGATCTAAAAGAATCATTAGTGGATTGTGTTACACTCGGACAATACATGCAACCTACAAAACGACATTTAAAAGTAGTAGAATATGTCACTCCTGAAAAGTTTAAACATTGGCAAGAGGTTGGCGATAAAATGGGATTTTTGTATACAGCAAGTGGTCCACTTGTAAGGAGTTCGTACAAAGCTGGTGAATTCTTTATTGGCAATGTATTAAAAAAACGTAAAGAAGCACAAGAGACTAAAAATTCTGACAAAACTTAAATATATTTTTGTTATTGTTGTTTATTATATTTTTATTGTGTTAATATTCAAATATAAAATATAATTTTATGTATTGTTAAAAAACCTTGTAGACAGTTTTTAAAGTTTAATGCTAAGTTTATAGCTATGAAAATATTATAATTATTATACATAGTATTTGGAAATTGAATGTAAATAGAGCTCTTGTGCTATGTGTATATATATACACTATATGTGTATGCATAAAGGCGTAAAGTGTTTACAAATATGCAAAAATGTATATTTTGATGATTTATCTTTGTTTTTGATAAAATTAAAGACATTGCTGAGTCTTAGTCCTGTGATTTTTCATGGGGCAAAACACCCTATGCCTCAATCATATTACCTATATATTTGACATAATTATGCTAAAATTACCAAATTCAATTTTAAATAATATTTTGAAAGTGAATTTGAAAAAAATTGATCGATTTACCATGTGCACTCTGTAGTTTTATATTGTGTACATATAGCAAAGTTTTATGTCATTTATAACATAAAACAAAGAAATTTCCAAAAAAAAAATTTAGATGTGTTGTATTTATAAAATTGTTGACTAGAGGGCTGATGATAATAATTATATGAGCACTACCTACATTTAGGGTCGGCCTATGCTCCGAGTGATTGTACCATTCTGTGGTATGTACATTGTGCTTTTTCTTATCGTGTCCAGGCTTTATAGATGCTTTATTATTATAATCCCCTTGTTACTCCATGGTACTCTGTTGGCTACTTGTATAGCCGCATCTGTATCATTTTATAAGACTTAAGGTGTTCATACTAATCATACTACATGGAACTGGATTTAAAGGGAATATTAGGATGAAATCATTGACGATTCGTCCACTTCAATTATGAAGATAGGACGTTTGGTCCCCCTCCCCCAGTATATTAAATCACCAAATTTAAATCGCAATTTTTTTTTAATTTTAAATTTCAATTCTTTTTATAAAATATCAGTATAATTTATATTCATAAAATATTATTTATTAAATAAAGGGTACAACATAATTGTCATCAGTCAAGTTTATTATTTAAATAATATAAGTAAACTACATAAAAATATAATACATTTAGGTACAATACAAATATATTTAACCAGTGGCGTGGCCAGGATTTTTTTTTTTTTGGGGGGGGGGGGCTGATCAATTTTGTACATAGCGGTGGTTTAGTTTTTGATCGAATACCATAGACCATTAAAATAATTTTTAAATTGTATTAACATTTCGGGGGGGGGGGGCTGTAGCCCCCTCAGCCTCCCCCTGGCTACGCCACTGTATTTAACCTTCATTCTTCAACAACCTGGATTGCCAAACTAATTTAAGTAACAACTAACAAGTACACTATTATTTACTTTTTTTCCTTTTTTGTTTATATTATTTTCTTTATTTTAACATTAACATTATTTTACCAATTAAGTCTTAACATGCTGTAATACTAATACATATCTCCCAATGGTCTTGCTGCCGACGCCGAATGTTATCTTTATTAATAAAAAGAAAGAAATAAATAAATTTACATAATTTTTTATGTTTTGATATTTCAGTCATTATTTATTTTAAATTTAGAATGTCAATACCGTATTAAAATTACTTTTGATGTATTACAAATAATTCATATTCATGATTATATGCTTAATGAATCGTATCCAAATATCAAAATTGTTATACCTAAGGATTTTTCTCTCAGTGACCGAACAACTTTTATGAGAAAGATGTTATTATTATTTTAAGACACCTAAACATTTGTGATTGTAAATTTCAATTTGATGTACTTACTAAAATACTAATACAATAGGTAATTTGTCGTGTCACCCCCATTCCCCCAATCACCCACATTCCCGGAGGTTTACCTCTAGGGACTGCCCTAGTTATGTCAGTTAAAATGATTAAAGGTGCACATAACTAGAGGTCTGCTTCAGTATAAACTATAAAGGTACAGCTCTGATAATTTGAAATAGGTATTTACATTGCAAGGTTATAAATTATTATAGCCATTTTGGCATTTTGCAGTAACTACTATTTATTTTTTTAATAGTTAGAACAGGATATATACCTATAATTATTAATTAATTAGAATAACATTTGCAAAGAAATGTTTTGTAACGAAAAATAATGTTGTACCTAGACAGTACTTATTAGGTATAGACTATAGATCATAAGTGTGGTGGACAATGTATTGATTTCACAATGACGTGTTTTTTAAAATATTTTTTGTGCGTGTATATAAGATAAGTACCTATACATACCTACTCGAAATAATGCTTCAATTTTCAACTTTGGTATGTTTTCTAGTTGGTTGAATTTGGGAAGTCAAATTAGAAAATGTCCAGTAGTTTCTGATTTTTTATTTATTTTTTATTTTTTATTTTTTATTATTTATTTTCCCCACGCCCCCGACAAACTATTTTTTACATTAGATCACTCATAAAAAATTGTTCTCGTTGACTCGTTATCATAACAACTTAAATAGTTACAAACATAAAAAAAAGAATAATTAATAAACGATTTAAATTTAAATATTTCAAACATATTTTAACTAAATTATTTACTAAAAATCTAAATCACAATCTCAAAAGAAATGTATTCCCAAGAACATCAAACAATAAGTAAAATATAATTTAGTATAAAATTGTCAATACGGTTAACGATTCATTCAATCGCGATAAACCTTACGATAGGTTTAATACAGCTATAGCGATAGTCCTATAATAGCTATCGCTTCTCTAGAATTAACAAAAATTAGGAAAAGAAATAATATTTTTCCCATCTAAAATAGAATGGTATAATATGTTATTCAATATAGATGGCCAATTGGTACAAAATATGTACAATATTAGCCATTAGGTATATAAACACAATATAATATTATTGTGAATTGTGACTTTATTGTTCGGTATGTTACCGTAAATAATAAATTGGTAAATAGTGTGTATGTAATGTACTAGGTACACTTATATAATTGTGGATATAAGAATATAAAATAATGAAAAAAGTTCTGCAAATTATACAAAATTACGGTATTGTTTGTTTAATATTCTTAGGGGGTCTTTAACTTCAAATCATTTATTTTGGGGGGACTAAGCCCCCGTAAGCCCCCCCCCCGATCTCCGCCTATGGTCACTGTAATGGATGGTGTTCACTTTGAATTCAATGATGTACCTACGTCCTACAGTAATTGTATACGAAAACGATTTTGAGCAAAGAGCCAAAGACGGTCTGTCAGCCTTTAATTTTACTTAGTAATTTAGTACCTATATTTGATGATATTATTGTGATTAAACTATTAAAGTAATTTATTTGATGTTTAATTCATCTAGGTTAAATTCATTTTTGCAAAAAAATTATACATGAAAAATCATTGTGTGTATAAATTATAATAATATTCTAGTTTCAAGTATAAGTTTCAAGTATAGTAGTACGCATGAATAATATTTTTAGATTACAACATAACTTAAATCATTATTCTTGGTTATTTAATAATATGTAATTCCGTCCAAATATAAACATATATTAATAATTTTAAAAAGCCTGTGTTTATATAGGTATTTATTATATTTTAGAATTGTTGTTACAGAATTAACTAATTGTGTGCAGGTTTTTTTAAATTGTTGATCCTTAGCTGTAAAAGTTGAACATTTTATAAATATTAAACTACAATTTGATAAATTTAGTCAAAGTGTTAACTTGAAATACTTATAAAACAAAATCATATCTATGTATTTTTAATATAATTCAACTAATATTGTAACAATATATCAGGAGGCTTTTATTATATTTTCAAGCTTTTTGACCTAACAAATGACATTTTATTGATTTATTTATTTAAAGAGAAAAAAACTAAAACAAATTTAAAATATCTGTAAACAGTTTAAAATGAGTCAAAATATTCTGAAAATTTTACCAAGTATATGAATTGATAAAATAAACAATGGTGTAAATTTCAGGTATTTACAGTTATTCGTTTTTGAATTACGACAAAATAAGAAATGGAGTGAATATAGTCGTAGCCGCGCGTGACAATGTTGTAAAAATGTCAAAGCTCATAAAAATGTAATTTGATTTTTCGGTAGATATTTTTTATTTTGATAAAGGTAGACAAACATATAAGGAATCTTGTATTAAGTTCCCTAATAAAAAATTAATGTGGTTTTACATTTACACTCAATTTTTTTTTTAAATTTCCACTCTCGACAATCTATGAGGAACCTCGAGGAACCTTATTGATGAATATTTTCTAGTTTTTTGACTAGAATTTTTTTTATTGACATTTATGTAGAAAAATAAAAACAAAAATCGAAAATTTTAGATGTCTATAAAATAGCTCAACACGAGTCAACATATTTAAACAATTGTATAGTGTGTAAAAAATGCTAATACAACCATATTGAACCACAGATTATATTAGTTAATATTAATATTTGTTTTAAATCGCTTTAAGTCTGGACATAGACTAATAATCTAATTATTTAATTTGGTTAAAAATAAACAAATAGTATATCATAAAACGTACTGTTTTTTATAGATACGAATTTTATAAGTACTTAAATTACCGTACTATTATTTCTACATTTTTTACTCTTCCGTCTGTAGGCCTTAATGACGCATTGTCCAGTGACCAGTAATAATAAAACATTAAAACAGAGTATAGACTACAATGTAGAGACTAGAGAAGATATCTTCTCTACATCGTGGTATAGACCATGACTAAATGGTATAGACTATATTTATCACAGATATACAGAATAAACTTAGAACTTAGAAACTAGAACTTTATATAACTTTATTCTATATATCTGTGATATTTATAGTCGGCAGTACTGCAGTAGGCATAATCACAGATTATATGAAAATATAATAGATCATATACTCTGTGGCATCATGATAAATTTAATTTAAAATTTTAATTTATAATTTCAATTACCAATCCCCATGCACTTTACGCATGCTAAATTACCGTATGCACCCAGTCCCAACCAGGTCTGAACGTATGGCAACAGTGGTTGAAGCAATGAGTGGCTACAGTGCGTGCAACAAAACAATATTATTGTTTGAACGCATCCTTAAAGCATCATGAATGTTTATACTTTTCGATACCTTTGTAGATTTTTGATTAGACATGTATGTACTATGTGTTGTCGGTCGTCGGGGCTCGGAGTCTGGCTGATATTTTAATATTTAATTCTGAATTCTGATTCTTGTTTCTTTCGAGTCTCGATACTTTGTACATTATAGGGAATGTACCTCTATTCTTACGAGTCGCTTCTTTTTTTCATTTTAATTATTTGATTCAACAC